GGAAGCGTATTTTAGGTGCAGTACAAATGCGTTTGGGAAGCATGCGCTGATGGCTGAGAGGCTGTTATACATCGATGCGGCTAAAGTAGAGCAGCAATGCAAGTCCGTGCCTATCGGGCTTGCGCACTACTTCTAGGGCTTGCGCGCCCACGCTAACCACTTCGATCGGCCCGTCGTAGGCCGGACCTGTTGCCTGCTCCTGCTACACCGTGTGCTAATACTGCGTGTTTCGTCATCTATCACGGATAGAGCTGCTTTGAGGAAAGATGGCTGTATGAAAGCCTGGAAAAGTCTGCGCAGGGACTGTGTCTAGCGGCACGCCCTGTGCGAATGGAATGTGCAGTATAGCGTTGTGTAGCGCCTCCCTTCCGTGCCGCCTGCCTAGATTTGGGCACCTCTTGAACCGGCATTGGTACGCCGCCTTCTCTCCAGATGCCTAAGCGAAGAGCGGGATGATATTGATCGGCCAATGTAATCCCTGTCCGCTAATCCCAATTCAATTTCATCATCCGGTGCGTCCGCGTGACGGAGAGTTCTGTATCACAGCGGAAACATATCTTATGTGCCGTCTTTTGGCGACATAACCTTAAAAATACAGTCCTGCGCTGACATTTCTCAGTCTGGTTACTAGCTTCCCTTTCTTTCCTACCCCCTGGACGATCTCAAAGCAGACTATAATATCGCTCCTCTCTTTATTCATTCGAGATCTGCCCTCGAGTGGCAGAACTGCGGTAAAACAGTAGTGAAGAAGGATATGCGGACGTATTTAGGCTTCCTACGAATCTCCAACAATATCTCTCGACGCTTACCTATCTTTCCGCACCGAATATAGTCGAACATTAATATCATCATCTCGCTGCCTAGCACATAGAACAATCACTGCTTGACACATCTACGCATTGATCATAATACGCAGCTCTGCAGATTAACCAGTATTGGCATCTATTATATATTAGAACATTCATGGATAGTAGTACTCGGCGCCAATCTTGATATCTATATGTTTGTTAAGGTGTCTAAATAGTGTTTTTGTAGTGTATATGTACATGAAACCGTCATCTTCTAGGAAGTGTGTAAGGCGATGCCATCTACTTTTCCTAGTACAGTATTGTTCATGCCGTGCCGTGATCTCAGATGCCTTATGTAAAGCCTACGTATGTCCGACTCCCAAACGCCAAAAAAAAATACAATGCAGAAGACGCCATTTATAACCAAAAAAATAAGAACACAAGAGCGTGGTAGCACTCATTCGAGGAATAGAACAAAGGACGATAGCAAGACAACTAAAGAGAAGCTATTGAAGCAACTGCGCAGAGAGCTAGGAAATGTCAACGCAATGCAGAGCTGAGAAATCGAACTCAGCCAGGCGATGATACAGGACATGTGACTCGAGTTAATTGTCTTTTTCGTCATACCGGAGTGGCTGGCAAAAAGGTGGTGTGTATCCTGTTGAAGGCGATGCATAGGATTCTGCGATTGTATGAGAGATGGCATAGATGTGCTGAATCATCTACCCGTTTATTGCCCTGCGTTTGATGATCGAGTCCATACAGGTGTTGTGGTCGAGTTATATGTTTTCGCTGTTTTGAGTGAGAGAGGTTAAGATCGTAGAAAAAGGAACAAGGATGAGTTTTTGTAAGAACCGAAATTCGTGACGGAAAGATCCGTAGGAAAAAGCAACAGGTTTGCTCTAATAGAACGTCCTGATGTTTTTTCTGTCCTCGTCCTCTTCGGACAACGACCAGAGGTGCAAGACCTTCTTTGCTTCTCCATCCCGCTTTTCATAGTCCTCACCAAGCCTCATGACGCAGCTAAAGGCTAGGTTCCAACCGTTTACCCCGGCAGAATAGTAGGCTTCTGAAACGGCAGCATCGCGACTGCCACATTTGATCAGCTTGTAAATCGGCTTGCCATGGAAGTGAGATCCGTGGACAAAAGGGTCGGCAGCCTGATAGGTACTCAGGATGAGACAGTAAACAAGCGACGTAGCCCCTAATGCGGTCGCTCTCTTGTTCGAACATGGAAAACATGAACGAGAAGGGTATGTATTGTCGGGATGGTTGGCAAGACATTCCGGGACATCGTCGTCTATTGGTGTTCTCATGGCAGCCGAGGCCCATACCCTAGGTCTCTCGAGACTGACAGGCCGGGCATTCGGTAGCGAGGGCAGTTCATCCAGCCATTGGCTTACCTCCCGTGTCTCGATATTCCTGAGATATGTTTTGCTAGGCTTCTCATACCATAGCTCTGTAGAACCATATTTAAGGAGCCATTCGTATTCCTTGTAATCGGTAGCATGAGCAGCATATTGGGTGACGTAGACGTTGCGGCTGAATGGTACAATATGCACGATTTGGGCGAGATCTTCGTGGAAAGAATCCTCACAGTATACGGCTGGAATAAAGAGATTTGCAGTACCGACTTTGAAGAATGGTGTGGGGAGTGCGTTTATTTGAGCAGGGGCTTGAGGTGGTGGTGGTGGTGGGGGCTTAGAATCGTTAGTCATTGTTTGTAGTAAGACAGAGTGGCTTACAGGAGGAGGCGGTGGCGGAGGAATAGCCCCATAGGCAGCAACCCAGGTTGGTACCCCGCCGGGTGGTGGTGGTGGCTGTGGTATGTTAGCTAGACGTTTCGATCACTGTTCCAAGAAGCCAAGACTCACCGGCGGTAGGTGTGGGAGCGGAGGAGCCTGGCTATCCGGAGCCGGCGATCCGGCTAGCAATGAATCTGTGGGCGATGGAACGACGCACATCGAGGAATCTTTTTCGATCAGGGTGTAGTTGTCCATAGAATCGTGGGTGGGATCGAAGTGTGCGAAGAGGTATGAGGTACCGTGATAATGATGGGAGTGTAGCTCGGTGTACAAATTTTGGACTTTAAGGGAGCAGGGGGAGACTGCGGAGTAAGTGGTGAGAGGCTGCTTCCTTGCCCTTTATTGTAGCTGACCGCGAAGTCGTATGTAGCCTAATATTGAATGAACAACGAGTAGCCAGGGGGTCATGCACACGTCCTCCAAAAATCCGCCCCCAAATAGCTGTGAGGAAGGGGGGGCTGAGTGGCCCCATAGCTTCACAATTGTTGGCCCACACCTGGCTACCCCCCGGCGGCGATATCCAATCAAGCCACCTATCCCCCTAGACGCCATGCAATGCACGCTTCATCACCAAGCTACATGGCCTGATCAGAGCGTAAAGAAATAAGAGAAAGTATTGCAAAGCATTGGAGTAACAATGACTGCTATCGTCGTGTCTTAGGCACACTTTGCCTTGGTCCAGTGTCACTCTTAGCATGCTTATAATGATGGTATACATGTCTGCGCGCAAAAAATGCGACTGAATAATATGCAGACATGTTCATAGTCCAAGGATATCATAACCCCGTCTCCAATAGCACGCAAAGCGAGGGACGTGCAGCGGAGACCAGGGCAATAAGGATGCATCCTGAAGCTGCTTCCTTCCTAGCAATTGCATGGGAGAAAGCAGGTTAGCTGCATTGGACACCGCGCCCATGCAGTCAGCCTGCTTGAGTCTTGGTAGTACAGATAATGCCAGCACTTTACCCCCCCCCCACCCCCCCCCCTGATTCTGGAACAAAGGGCTTAGTTTTTGATGTTGCCATTCCATACAGGAGTGTCCGCTTTCTATGTACGGCTGACTAGGGGTACCCGGGGCCAATTTCCGCATTGTTGCTAGTCAACATCCTCGTCTCGAGTGCCTCTCGCAGAAAAAGGCGCTTAGACCGTTGTACCAATGCAGTGGGGTCGGTGATGTCGGGAGAAAAGCAAGGGCTGGAACACTGGCCTTCCCTTGACCTTTCTCAATCTCACCACAGATCATCCCTTGTGCAGTATCCCCTGGAATGCAATAGCCAGATAGCGGACGACTCAACCAGCTGCCTGGTTGCTGTGTTGTTGGCTTGGACAAGCGGTACAGCCTGTCTGTGACAACGACCGGCATGCTGTATGCGCATCCAAGACTGCGTGCCTCGATTTTTGCAAGGCTTCATAGACATTAGTAGATAGCACATACAGTTGTTGCAGCACGGGGCATGTGCTGTCAATGCTGTAGATGTAGAATTAGTATGGCGTCAGGCAACAACCAGGACATCACTTGGTGCGACAATATCTAGGAAAAGACAGCTTTGCAAGGCAACAGTTTCGCTTTAGCTTAGTTGAGTGCAGGGCACTCAACAACTAAAAGCTGGTCAACCTTAGGATTCTGTTTGCTCAATGGGGATTGGCAGTATCCTCGTCAGGAGTTCCGCGTCAACCGCACTGCCAAGTTTGTTGGCGCTTCTTGAACGAGAAAAAGGAAAGAGCTCATATTATTATCGTAGGAATGTGGGTTACCTGGCGAGGCTGTGTTGGAGCGAACACGATTCATTTAGGCCCATGTCCCTCCCCGGCATCTGGCGGGCTTGCGTATGGTTTATGTTACGCAGCTCGCATCTAGTGTGCATTTCGGCTAGTTTGATGTAAATTCTTGCTGATTAGATACTGGGTAGCATCTAGGGTATCACAAGCCGGTCTACGATCAGTGATTGCCCGCAGAGGTGTCGCCTCGCATTTCTAAGCCATGCGAGTCTATCGACCTCTTCTCCGCTACTATAGGTGGAATTATAGGCCAACGTACTAGACGGGTGAGTGGCAGGACTCTATCAAGACCCCACTAAACTTCAACATACTATAACACAAGTGGCAATGTCTCAACATAGCAACATAAAGAAAAGCCTAAACGAGATATCTATTTAAAACGCAATCTAGGCTTTAAAGCAAGACGCGAGTCTTACTATTCTACGCACTACAGCTATTCGCAACGCTCCTAAATAAACCTTGCAGCGATGACGTAACGGAGCACTTTTGACACGATTGCAAACTCATATTAATGAACCTTCTAACAAAAGAAGAGACCGCCATCATAACTGGATGCTAGTGTACCATAGCTAATTGAGAGGCATCGATCGGATGCTCAAATACGTTTGGTTAATACCCTGTGGGCTGGTATGGCACATCCCCCTGTTCTATAAGTCGGCGTCTTTTGTTTCGGTTATGTTTGCTGTGGGAGGGACCGATAGTTCTGGGTGGCTCGTTATGTCAATTATGTCATGGATCAGCCAATAAGTGTTGGATTTGGTGGTGTTGAGGCGTGGCTATGATTATTTGATCTTAATTAGTAGTTAGCGGTAATATTTGATGGCTCTAATCGTTCGATTTGGTGGTGTACAGGCTTCTATGCGTCGTCTTGCAACTGGGGCATGAGATTTTCCTTGTCCTCCCATCATATTTCTCTTTTCTTCTGTGCATCAGCTCTCAGTAGCTTGCAATTAATCTCCTCTCTCCGATAATGTCTTTACCAGATTTCCCATGCACCTCGAGCCTACGCCATTGATAAGTACATAAAAATAGCTATAGACAAAATTAGCTTACTTCATTATGAATTCGCGGTCCTAGAAATCTTGGCTCATATCAAGTAAATCCCTGATTTACGGTCGGAGTAGCCTAGGGGGTATCCTAGAAGACAAGACCTTCTGAAACAAGGGAAAATTAGCTGCGGCCCAGAAGTCCGTCGCTCCAATGGATATCAAAATCCTCCTTCAGGTTTGTAGTGAGTTGTTCATCAGATAGTGTAACGGTTTGGGCCATGCCAAGACCTATTCTGGTACAAGTTGGGTACTGCTCTCGCTACCACACTTCGTACATCCCACATTCATATATATAGCTGCCCTCCTTCATAGCTACTCCGACAATGCAATCCCCCTCTTCCTCGTTCCCACCGCTACAGTTATGAGCCCGGCTTGCCGTTAATCGACTGCATTCACATCCCGCTTTAGTTAAGACTTACTGTTATAATTAGTCTAACAGTAGACGTCTATCTTAACGACAGCAGTTATCATCAGCTATCGCCATGGCTACGATGAATAGTGATCTTCTGATCACGAAGACGACGGTGATTCTCGATCAACCGTCAGATTGGCAGAAGTGGATCTTCCTGCGCAAAGATAGCGCGCAGCGGAACGATCTATGGGCGTACGTTAACCCTAACGTTGCGACAGAAACAGTACTCAAGCTCGAAGATGAGAAGCCTGCGAAGAAAGAAGCAGGAGTTTTCTACGGACGAGGCCGAACGGCCGGCATGGTTTACGACCTCGAGCATCTCGATGAGCACGAATACCGGAAGTACTCAGCCTGGTACACTAGTTACCAGAAGGAACTAACAAAGTTCGAAAAGAAAGAACTCGCTTTAAGGCAGTTCAACAGCGAGATCGCGACAACGATCTCAGAGCGTCGACTTCATTGGATCATGAATCTAGATACGCCGCACGCACGATTGAGGAAACTCAAGAACCAGCTCTGTCCATCGACAGCAGAGCGAGAGACTCAGCTACTCTCGCAATACCTGGCGCTTCGCAAGATGCCAAAGCGCGCCAACATTGAATCCTGGCTTGATAGCTGGGAGGAGCTCCTTGAGCTTATGGCCGCGGCTGAGATGGCAGAAGTGAAGGGTACAAGGGCACAGCGGGACTTTCTCGACTCGGTGCAATCGACTGATGATTCATGGGCTACATCACAAAGGATTAGCATGATCGCAAAGCAAGAGGAAGGAGAGTCCTTCTTACCAGCGGTTGATCTTGTGGGGCGATTTCGACTATACTATCGGCAAACGAAACCAGTGGCTTCAACGCTGGGAACCTTTGCGGCGTTAGGCGACCCACAGGAAATATCACAGGATACTGATAAGTTTCGAAAGATTAACTGCCTGTGTGGAGAGAAGCATCGCTTTTATTGATTGTCCGTACGTCAACTCAGCAAAGCGTAGCTCTGGATGGAAGGCGGATTCAGATATGAAGAAGAAATTCGATACTATCCGAAGCAGAGGCGAAGGCAGCAGAATCTCAGCTGTATTAAGATCAGTAGAAGCAAAGCTCGCTAAGCAAGCTCAGCAGAGTAAGCCTCAGTCAGCTGCCTTTGACGATGGAAGCACGAAAAGTGGTCGAAGCTCAAATGCTTGTCTCCAAGTAGAGGCTACTCAGCAGTCTCCATCGCTGCTAACGCGATGGATACTCGACCCAGGATCGAACCTTCACGTGTCTAATCATCGAAATTCGACTTGGCGTAAGCTTGCAGATGCTAACGCCCATGACGAGATCTTAGCTGGAGGTCAGCGTATTCCGATCAAGGAATGGGGTGAGGTTGAGATCATGATCAACACGCCTCACGGAACATCCCAAATTAAGCTTACTTGGGTAGCGTATATCCCGAGCTTCTTTACCTCTCTTGTCGCTCTCTCACGATGCCGTACGATGGGAATTGAGTTCGACTCAGGTCGAGACTGCCTATACCAGAAGTCGCCAAAGAACGTCGTGTGTAAGCTTAGTCCCGAAGGAGGGCATTGGCTGATGGATTCGGACGAAAATGAGAGACCGCGTGTAGAAGACCTGCAGTCTACGAGTGTAGCAGAGTCTACAAGTGTAGCAGAGTCTGTTAATGCAGCAGAAAAGAGAAGGATTCAAGCGGTGAAACCATCGTACGCTGATCGACGACCGCTTGAGCTAACGGCGGAGGAAGCCCATGAGATTTGGGGCCACCCGAGCGCTAAGGTTATCTCAAAGCTCGAGCAGGGTGTCGATGGTGTAAAGATTAAAGAAGGCACAATAGCGCCAACTTGGGAGACCTGTACGACATGTATTGAAGCAAAGCTTCATAAGTTCAAGAGCCGAAGGCCTCCGCGAGAACCAGCCACCCGACCATTCGAAAGATTGGCTATCGATCTCGTACAGCTGCGTGAGACAGGCGAGCGCTGCTATAACGGTGACGTTTGGCTATTCCATGCGGTGTGCCAGAATTGCAAGCTTCACCTAGCCGCATGCCTACCAAACAAGTCAGCACCAATGCTCTTAACGGCAGTCGAGCGCTTGCTAGCACGAATTAAGACTCAGTATGGTGTCAAGGTTCGTGCAGTGAAAATCGACGGCGAGCGAGGATACAGCCTACTACATCAGCTCTTTCTTAACCGAGGTATTGAGATTGAAACAAGAGCTCCGTACACTGAGGAGCAGAACGGCCTCATCGAGCGCGCTGGCTCAACAATAATCGTCCGAGCTCGCGCAATCCGAATTGGATCCGGTCTGCCCAAGGAGCTGGCCAACGAGTGCGTCATGACCGCAGTATATCTACTCAATCGAACACCAGTCGAGTCTCTTGGCTGGAAGACGCCTTATGAAGTCGCAGGTGGACACAAGCCTTCGATGGCTCACCTAAGCAAGATAGGCGCACAGGCGTACTACCTCAACACCAAGCTGAAGCGTGGCGACAAGATGGAGTCTCGAGCGCTTATCGGCCACTTAGTTGGATACGATTCCACCAACATTTTCAGGATATGGCTCCCAGAGTCACACACTGTTATCCGCACCCGAGACGTCGTATTTCGTCCGAATACAAGATACGATGGCAGAACAGTCTACGCAGATTTGAGGGTGGCACGTACAGTAAAGACAGTACTTGATATCGCCGACTACGAAGGCGAGATAGAGGAACTAGAGATTAGTGAGCTTCTAGAGCTCGCTGCTCCGCTTGGTTTGCATGGCACTGAGATCCTAGAAGAGGATGAAGCACATAATCAGTTGATAGAAGAGCTATTACAGCAGTCAGCGAAAGGGGATCAGAGCCTACCAACGCCTGAGGGCACACCTGCAAGATCGATTGACCCAGGAGGATTATCAGTCTCGCCCGATGCGAGAGGAAGGAGAAGTAGGGCCGCGAGCGTTGAAGAAGAGATTAGCTTGCCAAAGGGCTACGAGCCAGTGCAAGGGGGTCAAGAGGCGCCGAATCGTCGCGAAAACAACGCGCCAAGGCGGACGGATCCTGCCATTACGTCAGATAACATCGTTGCCGGTAAACGTACTAGAGGCAGCGCTCATGCGGCGTATCTCTCCACTTTCGCAGTAACATATCTATCGACCTTTGCCTCAGCAATCAATCCGGTTAAAGCACGAGAGCTTCACGAGCCTAAGAAGGTTCGCCTCCATCGAGACCATCTTCCACCTCCACCGAAACGTTGGTCAGATCTCGAACGCCATCCGTTTGGCAACCGTTTCAAGCTTGCAGCACAAGCTGAAATGGACGATATAGTAAGAAAGGGCTGTTTCAAGCCAGAAGCTCACGAAGAAGGCGTCGCCGAGGGTGAGATACTGCCGCTAATGTGGGTGTTTACCTACAAATTCGATGAAGACGGCTATCTCACGAAGTTCAAGGCACGCTTAGTTGTAAGAGGAGACTTACAACAGATATACGAGGACACATATGCGGCTACACTAGCAGCTCGGATCTTCCGATTCCTTGTTGCTCTAATGGCTGCCTTTGGCCTAAAGGCCTTCCAGTATGATGTACTGAATGCGTTTCTAAACGCAAAAGTCGACCGTAAGATCTACGTACAGACACCAGAAAGTTACGTTGATCAATTTGGTCCGCTACTACGGTTGTGGCGAGCCTTGTATGGTCTGAAGGAAGCGCCGCTGTTATGGTACAACGATCTCTGCACTTCACTGCGGAAGATGGGACTTAAGCCAGTGCCAGGCATCCCATGTTTGTTTACAAACGAAAAGCTTATTGTCTTCTTCTACGTTGACGATATTGTGGTTCTGGTTCGACCAGAAGATCTCGCAGCTCATGAAGAGTTTGAGCGTGCGCTTAAGGATCGATACGAGATACGTTGCTTAGGTAAGCTTGGTTGGTTCTTAGGCATCCGCGTCGTACGCGATGAAGAGCAAGGGAAAGTTTGGCTGTTACAGGACTCATTTGTCGACAAGGTCGCTGCCAACTTCAAACTGCAGAAGAAATCCGGACGATACCCAGCAACTCCGCTGAATGAGGGGCTAGGCCCGAGTGATGAAGAACCAAACGCCGAGCTTACGAAGGAGTTTCAGAGCCTTACTGGCTCACTAGCATTCATCTCATGTATCACTAGACCGGACGTTGCGAAAGCGCACTCAGTGCTCGCACAGCATCTTCAGAATCCAAACCAAAAGCATCTCGCTGCCGCCAAACACGTTTGGGAGTACCTGATTGGTACTCAGTACTACGCTATCTGCGCTACAGCACTTCGAACCGAGAGTGCGTCGTATATCACAGAGGGTGAAGCAAATGAGGCAGGAGTGGAACCGTTGTTCTTTGGTGCCTCTGATGCTGCCTTTGCCGACAATCTCGAGACGCGCAGAAGCTCGCATGGCTTTATGTTCAAGCTATACGGGATGCCGATTGACTGGAAGGCTACAGTGCAACGCTCAGTCACAAAGTCAACTACTGAAGCAGAGCTGATGGCTCTCTCTATTGCAGGGGCTGAGATGGAGTGGTGGCAACGCGCGTTCAAGAACGTTAAGTTTGAGCTCGAGTTCACACCACAGCTCTTGTGTGATAACACAGCCACGGTTGATATCGTTACTAAGAGAGAAGATCGGCTTCAGACAAAGCTTCGTCATGTGGATACTCATCAGATGTGGCTCCGCCAGGAAGTCGAGCAGAAGCGAATACAGGTCAATTGGGTGCCTACAGATCAGATGCCCGCAGATGGTTTGACCAAGGTACTACCTCGTCAAAAGCATGAGAGTTCTGTCAAGCAATTAGGGCTTGAAGATATCCGGAGTATTATTACTCCAAGAGAAAATAAGGAAGCAGAGAAGGGAGTTAAGCTTTCAGCGTGGAACTAGAGTATTTTTTTATTTATTTCCGTTATTTTCACATCTCTAGTTATGGTCAGCTACTTGCTGAGAGCCGTATCTGAGAGGGTGTGTAACGGTTTGGGCCATGCCAAGACCTATTCTGGTACAAGTTGGGTACTGCTCTCGCTACCACACTTCGTACATCCCACATTCATATATATAGCTGCCCTCCTTCATAGCTACTCCGACAATGCAATCCCCCTCTTCCTCGTTCCCACCGCTACAGATAGTGATTTGTCCTCAAGGCTGCGCTGCTGGTGTTTAGATGATAAGTTAAGCTTAATCGGGGCTTTTACGTACACATAACTTGTTTAATACGACCTAAAGGTCCTCCAGAACCCGAGACACCTCCACGTTAGGATTAATCTCCGCATGCTACCTTGTTTGGTCTTTTCCTTAAATGGTCTCATTCGTGACTCAGAAGGAGTTATGGTTAGTAAGGACAGGTGTGCCCAGTCTCATGTTTTACGGCAACAAGATGTCCTTTGGGTAAGCAGTAACCATGAATTCAATGGCATGCTCAGGCTAACTTCGTGTGGCACCGAATTCCGGTACCAACTTTGCTCCTATAGCACAATCGACCTCGGGACCCAACTAGCCACCCAAAACTACCGCCCCCAAAAGATTTCAACATCGCAAGCCGACTCAACCCCTGTATCTGAAAAAGGGGGTGAGACAGCTATTCTTCGAAATGGAGGCGTTTTCACATCGGGCTATGTTAGCGATCTCGCATAGCACGGCGACAACTGCTTCTTTAGCTTCTCGTTTCACTTTTGCGCCTTTGCCCTTCCTTTGACCAGCCATCGATTCTTCTTAATGGGCCACTAACACGGATGCGTGTGTGATGGGATGAAGAGGCCGGCCACTGTGAAACCCAGCAGCTGTCTTCCCTGCCTATCTTGCTATATTGGGAAGGACCGCCAATGCTTGGAGGTCACCAAGCACTGGCGAGATACCACCTGGGCACCATGCAACGAATCCAAGCAGACAAAATTCGGCCCCCAAGTGCCATTCACTCATTCGGGATTTAGCGTGTCAACAGATGTCAATAAGGGTCGTCATGACGGGTTGATGCTTCCGATTGCTGGTAGCAGTCTGATCCCCATGACAAGGATAGGGTTAGAATGGATCACTATTGATCGTACAGCTTATCCTAC